TCAAGCGATTCTCCTGCCTCAGCCTCCCGAGTAGCTGGGATTGCAGGCGCCTGCCACCATGCCCTGCTAAGTTTTTGTATTTTTAGTAGAAACGGGGTTTCACCATGTTAGCCAGGCTGGTCTCGAACTCCTGACTTCAGGTGATCTCGCTTCGGCCTCCCAAAGTGCTGGGATTACAGGCGTGAGCCACCGCATCTGGCCAATGGCTTTCTTTCTTGTTCTTGTTTTATGTTTATTAAGACGGAATCTTGCTCTGTCGTCCAGGCTGGAGTGCAGTGGTGCAATCTTGGCTCACTGCAACCTCTGCCTCCCGGGTTCAAGGGATTCTCCTGCCTCAACCTACCGAGTAACTGGGATTACAGGTGCCCGCCACCACATCTGGCTATTTTGTTGTTGTTGTTGTTTTTTGAGATGGGATCTCACTCTGTTGCCCAGGCTGGAGTGCAGTAGGGCGATCTCAGCTCACTGCAGCCTCCGCCTCTCAGATTCAAGCAATTCTCCTGCCTCAGCCTCCTGAGTAGCTGGGACTACTGGTGTGTGTCACTGTGCCCAGCTAATTTTTGTATTTTTAGTAGAGACGGGGTTTCACCATGCTGGCCAGGCTGGTCTCGAACTCCTGACCTGAGGTGATCTGTCTGCCTCGGCCTCCCAAAGTGCTGGGATTACAGGTGTGAGACACTGCGCCCAGCAATGGCTTTCTGGGTATAAGCATCTTGAGAAGGGAGAGTACCTGGTTCTGAGGTAGGCTGAGGTTCAGTATTGGTGACATGGCCAGGGTCCAAACTCTGGTTCCTAATGGAGAGAAGGGCTCTGGTCTGATTTCGGGGTCACTGTTTGGGGAGAGGGCTCTATGCCCTGTCTTCTGGGTACTGGAGAGGTAAGAAGTCATGAGAAATGAGACTGAGAGCTTGGAACTCTTGACTGCTGACTGGAGGAGGGCTGGGAGCCCCTTCCTGGATCTCTAACCCATCACGCTCTTCCTCACTTCCCATTTAGTTGGCGAGGCCCGTAACCTTATTCCTATGGACCCCAATGGTCTCTCTGATCCCTATGTGAAACTGAAGCTCATCCCAGACCCTCGGAACCTGACGAAACAGAAAACCCGAACGGTGAAAGCCACGCTAAATCCTGTGTGGAATGAGACCTTTGTGTTGTGAGTCTGGGGTGCAGGGAAGGCAATGATAGCTGACAGAGAATGATCTGAGGGTCCTAGTGGCCCCCAGAGAGCAGCTGATGGGAGGGGTTAGGATAGAGGGAACCCAGAAAAGGGCAGAAGATGATGGTGGGAAAAAGGAATAGAGCGATTGAGGGAGTGGAGTGGAGATACAGAAACAGAGACAGCCAAACCACTGTATAATTAGTCTCCATTGAAGTCCCTCAACTTTAGAGTTAGACAGAGATGAGAGAGAGAAGAGAGAGCCTCAGATGAGGCAGAAACCCAAAGAGAGACACAGAGGGAGAGGGAGGGGAGAAGACGAGGGATGGCAGGGAGACAGAGGTCAGCTGACAGAAAGACAGTGACAGAGACCCAGAGAGGAGAGAAAGGTGCAGAGACTCAGAGAGAGAGATCTCGAGAGACAAGAGACAGGGATGGGAAGGGCGGAGAATGCAGGAAGAAGGGAGGGAAGAGCTCTCTGGGTTTACTTCAGGCCCCAAAGCCCTAGCTGGGGAGAGAGCCCCACTGGGAAGGTCAGAGGTGGGAGACAGACAAAGCAGGAGAGGAACCCCAGCTGGCTGGGTTTGCCCCCACCTCTAGCACCAAGGATGGGGAACCGAAGGGAGCCATGAGCTTGGCCCCGCACCCCATTCACCCCACCTTCCTGCAGCAACCTGAAGCCTGGGGATGTGGAGCGCCGGCTCAGCGTGGAGGTGTGGGACTGGGACCGGACCTCCCGCAACGACTTCATGGGTGCCATGTCCTTTGGTGTCTCAGAGCTGCTCAAGGCACCAGTGGATGGCTGGTGAGGAGCAGGGCTGGGGCCTGGGGATGGAGCGCAATATTACCATCTCCATCTGTGTGTGGTCTCTCTCCTCCAGGCCACTGTCCTTCCCTACACCTCCCAGCACACACACACACACACACCCCTCTCTCTCTCTCTGTATCTCTTCTTCTCTCCTTCTCACCTCCCTTTCTCCCTCTCCCTCTCTTTTTATCTCACTCTTTCTCTCTTCCATCTCTGTGTCCGTCTCTCTGTGTCTCTTTCCTCCCTTCCAATGTCTTTGCCTCTCCCATGGGTGCCCCGTCCCCGCTGTCCGCCTCTGGTCTCCGTCTGTATGTCAGGTACAAGTTACTGAACCAGGAGGAGGGCGAGTATTACAATGTGCCGGTGGCCGATGCTGACAACTGCAGCCTCCTCCAGAAGTTTGAGGTACCCAGACCCCGGCTTCCTCAGGGGAGCCCAGCCCAGCCTCCCATAGTTCAGAGCTGGCCTTTCCTTCCACCCCTGAGTGCCTGCTGGTCCTGGGACTACAGTTCCCAGAAGACCCTAGGACTCCCTCCTCTGCTCTTCTAGGGGACTCGAGCCCCAGGGTCTGTTGGGAATTATAGTTCCTATCCATTGCCATGGCTTGAGGGTACTAGGGGCCACCAGCCCCTGCTCTAGGGCGATCCCTTGCCTCTCTTGGGACCCTGACTCTCTCTTTCTTTTCTCCCAGGCTTGTAACTACCCCCTGGAATTGTATGAGGTGAGTAGAACAAGCAAGGCGTTGAATGGAGGCAGTTTCAGCCTGAGTGTCTGATTTCTTATCCCTCCTCTGACTTCTGTCTTCAATTCTACACACACGAGTTGTGCACACATTTGCGCTAGGTCTCTCTTGTGCTTGCTGAATAATCCAGGATCCAGAGGTGAATCTGACCCTCAAGCAACTCCCCAAGGTAGTATCTAGACACAGTCACAGATACTTAAAATACAGGAAGATGTGCTAAATTAGAGGTAGCCCAGGGCACTGAAGAGGCCTAGAGGAGGCATTAACGCAGCCTCGGGGAGGGTGGTCAGGGAGAACTTCCCTGAGGAGGTGACACCTGAGTTGATATTCTTGAGGTGTTTTTCTTTTTTGGAGTCGGAGTCCCGCTCTATCACCCAGGGTGGAGTGCAATGGTGTAATCTCGGCTCACTGCAACCTCCACCTCCCAGGTTCAAGCAACTCCCTTGCCTCAGCCTCCTGAGTAGCTGGGATTACAGGTGACCGCCACCACACCCGGCTAAGTTTTTTGTATTTTTCAGTAGAGACGGGGTTTCACCGTGTTAGCCAGGATGGTCTCAATCTCCTGACCTCGTGATCCACCCGTCTCGGCCTCCCAAAGTGCTGAGATTACAGGCTTGAGCCACCGCGCCCGGTCACGAATACCCATTTTCTAGGGTGTCATAAGCCAGACCCTGTTCTGGGAATAGAATCAGGCCATTCCCTGGGGGAGCTCTTCTTCTAGTGGAGGACAAAGTTACAAACCCAGACATTCACAACGAGGAGCAATGCTGCTGTAATGGAGATAGCCTCAGGCACTGGGGCGTCCCTGGCACAGCCTGAGTCAGAGAAAGCTTCCCAGAGAGGTGAGACCTGGTGGAGGGGCGGGATTTCCCAAAGGAGAGACCAGATTTTCAGGCAGAAGGAAGTAATGCTCTCTCCCTCATTTACCCTTTCAAAAAATACAGAGCGTCTCTGTGTGCAAGGCGTGGCTCTACTCACTGGGGATATAGAGAGAGCAGGGAAAGAACTAACAAAAAAAAAAAGTTCCTTTCCTCATGGGATTTACACCGGGAGGAAGACATCAAACAAAATATATAAGCATATGATAGGCCAGGCGCCGTGGCTCATGTCTGTGATCCCAGCACTTGGGAGGCCAAGGCAGGCAGATCACTGAGGTCAGGAGTTTGAGACCAGCCTGGCCAACATGGCAAAACCCCATCTCTACTAAAAATACAAAAATTAGCCAGGTGTGGTGGTAGGTGCCTGTAATTCCAGCTACTCGGGAGGCTGAGGCAGGAGAATTGCTGGATTCCGGGAAGCGGAGGTTGCAGTGAGCCAAGATTGCTCCACTGCAGTCCAGCCTGGGTGACAGAGGGAGACACTGTCCCAAAAAAAAAAAAAAAAAAAAAAAAGACAGACAAGAATCTTCAAGATTCAACAACAGCAACTACATGCTATAGTCTTCCCTGGACTCTTACAGAAACTTTCCCCAGAGTTTTAAATGTTCTCTGTAGGGGTTCATCTGCATCAGAATTCCTAGAGTGCTTGCTTTTAAAAGCATATTCCCTGGCCTTTCTGCAGACCTACTGAGTGAGGGTCTCTCTGATGCCTCAAATGTCTGCATACTAAATTAATTCCTCAGGTGATCCTTTTGCAAAGTTAAGTTTGAGAACAGGCTCTGCAGGAGACAAGGGTACCAGCGGGAGGAAATTCTGAGCCAAAGAGGTAGAGTCTTTTGAGATCAGCGGGGATGATCCTCCCGTGCAAACCCAAGAAACCCAGCAGGGCAGACGGTGGGCAAAGGCCTAGAGGCAGGGAGTGTGTGCCTGTTGTGGTTCACAGTGCTCTCCCACAGTTCAGCAGGCACCACTTAATATTACCAGTGAACACCAACTATGTGCCAAACCTTGAGCTAGGTACGGGGCTAACAATACAGCAAACAGAAACAGCCATTATTATTATTATTATTATTCTGTATTTATTTACTTGAGACAGAGCCTCGCTGTGTCGCCCAGTCTGGAATGCAGTAGCGCGATCTCGGCTCACTGCAACCTCCGCCTCCTGGGTTCAAGCGATTCTCCTGCCTCGGCCTCCCAAGTAGCTGGGACTACAGGCATGTGTCACCATGTCCTACTAATTTTTATATTTCTAGTAGAGATGGGGCTTCGCCATGTTGGCCAGGCTGGTCTTGAACTCCTGACCTCAGGTGATCTGCCCACCTCAGCCTCCCAAAGTGCTGGGATTACAGGCGTGAGCCACCGCACCTGGCCCTCAACAAATATTTATGTAGCCTCAATGATGTAGGCAGAGTTACTGTGTCTTAGCGAACAAAGCAGACCCCTGCCTTAGGGAGCTCACAGGCAGAAAGCAGATAGTCACACAGATAGATGTAAATTACTAAGAATAAAAGTGCCAGGAAGGTGCTGTCCATGGTGACCAAGGGATGGTAAGAGAGGCATCTGACCCAGTTTAAAAAGTCAGGCGTGGCCTCTATGAAGTGATGCTTGAGTCAAGGTCTAAAGGGTGTTTGGGAGGCAACTAGGAGGGAAGGGGAGGGGAAAGCTTTACAGAAAGACCTGACAGCATATCCAGAGGCCCCGAGGAGGGAGGGAGGACAGCGTGTGTCAGGCCAGGGTGGCTAGATCATGGAGCCCCCAGGAGAGAGAAGAACAACCTGCAGGGTCAGTCACAGCCTGGCTCTGCAAGTCACATGGAACAAAATCTTAACACAGACAGAGCAGTTAAAGGGTTTACAAGCATAGGGGAGACATGACCTGGTTTATTTATTTTTAAATTGGCTCCTGTGCCTGCTGAGTAGAGAATGCATTCGAAAGGGCAGCCGTCCATGTGGAGGGACAAGTGTGGAAGCTGTGACAGCAGCTTAGTCGTGGGCCCCCTCCCTGGGGGGCCAAGGCAGGAAAAGGTAGAGAAGGGACCTTAGCTGAAAGCCAGGAGTGCTCCCTGGACTGGCAGCACCCATGTCACCCAGAAGCTTTTTACGCATACCAATTCTCAGGTCCCACCCCAGATTTATAGAGTTAGAAAATCTGGCATTGGGACCAAGCAATCTGTTTTACCAAACCCTCTAGGCGATTCCGGCTTAGAGGCTAAGAGCAACCAGACTCTAGAGCTGAACTGCTTGGGTTTCATTTCTAGCTCTGCTCTTTACCTGCTGTGTGACTTGGGGCAAGTTACTTAACGTCTCTGTGCTAATTTCCTCTTCTGTAAAATGGAAACGATAGCAGGGTTTTCTGGAGATAGCATATAAGCCATCTACTTAAAAAAAGAGAGAGAGAGAGAGAGAGAGAGACAGAGAGATCTAAGTGTTTGTTAAATAATAAATAAACCCTCCAGGCTATGAGAGTCAGAGAAAATTAAGCCAAGGATGGAGTAGGAGGGTGGCCATTTTCCTCTCTAGCTAGTCTCATCCTTTTCTTTCTTGGGTGCTGTCTCTCTTGGGGGCATCTCCTTATCGCTGTGTAAGGTCTAACTGCCTCTGGCACTGTCTTTCTCCTTTCCACAGCGGGTGCGGATGGGCCCCTCTTCCTCTCCCATCCCCTCCCCTTCCCCTAGTCCCACCGACCCCAAGCGCTGCTTCTTCGGGGCAAGCCCAGGACGTCTGCACATCTCTGACTTCAGCTTCCTCATGGTTCTAGGAAAAGGCAGTTTTGGGAAGGTTGGATTCCTGGGGTTCCGGGGGAAAGGGAGGATGTCTGCGGGGACGTCAGATTTCTGGTTCTTAGGGAGGAAGTAGGGGTGGGAAGACCCTGGGCTCCTGCATCTTCAAATATTGTTAGGCTGGGCCGTTCAGGTTCCTGGAGAGGAGAGGTTTACAGATGCGGACACTCTCCCTGAGGGGGCGGGTGGCAAGTCAGGGCTGTCAGTCCCTTAAGAGATGGAGGGAGGACCTGGGATCCCGTTTCCCTGCGTCCCTGAAAGGAAGGGGGCAGGTCCTGTACCACTGGGTTCCCAACATGGACTGGCCCTTTTGGAACTGTGTGCATAGGTGATGCTGGCCGAGCGCAGGGGCTCTGATGAGCTCTACGCCATCAAAATCCTGAAAAAGGACGTGATCGTCCAGGACGACGACGTGGACTGCACGCTGGTGGAGAAACGCGTGCTGGCGCTTGGGGGCCGGGGTCCTGGCGGCCGGCCCCACTTCCTCACCCAACTCCACTCCACCTTCCAGACCCCGGTAAGGATGGAGGGGGCGGAGGCTGGCCTCGGGGCCCTGCCTCATCCAGTTCTGGACAGATCCGGCATCTGCGTTGGGATTCTGAGTTTAGGGCGAGGCAACAGAACCTTGTACTCTCTGAGTGGGTGAGGTCAGGAGGATGGGCTCCTCAGGGGGCGTGGCCAGGGAGAGGGGCTCCTCGGGGGCCAGGCGGAAGGGCCCCTCGAGGGGCGTGGCCAGGTGGAGGGGTCCTCGTTGGGCGTGGTCAGGCGGAGGGACTCATCGGGGGCGTGGCCAGGCGGAGGGACTCATCGGAGGGCGTGGCCAGGAGGAGGGGCTCCTCGCGGGGCGTGGTCAGGCGGATGAAATCTTTCGGGGGTTTGGAGGGCGGAGTTTGTCAGGCGATGCATCATTAATAGGCGTAGCCAGGCAGATGACATTATGAATGAGCGTATCCAGGCAGGTAGATTCTTCGGGGGGCGTGGCCGGGCGGATGAGCTCCTAGGGGGCGTGGCCAGGCGGTGAGCTCCTCGGGGGCGTGGCCAGGTGGATGGATCCTGCGAAGGTGAAGCGGTTGAGCTCCTTGGGGGCGTGGCCAGCTGGATGGGCTCCTGGGGGGAGTGGCCAGCTGCCTGTTTCCCTGGGGAGCTTGGTCTTAATTGGGTGTAGCCAGTGCCCTGGAATTTTGAGCAAAGGAGCACAGTGGAGGAAAGTGCGTTCCTAGTGGGCCTGCCCAGAATTGGGCTCCGAGTGACGGGGTCATCACTTTTCGATTCTGACTGAAGGACACATCAGAAACAGGGCATTTCCCTAGGATTGCGACGTAAGGGCGAGAGTCAGAACCTGCAGGATTTTGAGAGGGCGTGACTTTACTTCCAGGGACTCTGAGTGAACGTGGCTAGCTACCTGGATTAAAATTTATGTGTGAGCAACTTTGATTCCTTTTTTTTTTTTTTCCCGAGACGTATTTTCGCTCTTGTCCCCCAGGCTGGAGTGCAATGGCGCGATCTTGGTTCACTGCAACCTCCACCTCCCGGATTTAAGCAATTCTGTCGATTACAGGCATCCGCCACTGCGCCCGGCTAATTTTTGGTATTTTTAGTAGAGACGGGGTTTCACCAGGTTGGTCAAGCTGGTCTCGAACTCCTGACCTCAGGTGATCCACACGCTTCGGCCTCCCAAAGTGCTAGGATTACAGGTGTGAACCACCACACCTGGCCGCAACTCTGAGTCTTGGTATGAAGCCAGAATTGCATATGTGTGTGAGTGGCTGTGGAAAGAGATTTTGGTGTCCCCAGATTTCGAGCGAAAGGTGGACTTCAGTCTTCATTCTGAGAAGGCGGGGCCAGAACAGGTGGTCTGATAACTGGGGGTGGTCTGGCGGGTGGAGATTCTGAGGTAGCAGGGTTAGCACCTTAGGGCCCTTCCAGGGATGTGGCTAGGTGCTCTGATTTCTGGTTGGGTGCATCCGGAACCTTCCATATCTGTCCTGAGTGATCAGGAAAGAACTTCTCCTACCTCGGGTAGATGAGTCCCGCCTCTAAGCCCATGCACTCCTCCACAGGACCGCCTGTATTTCGTGATGGAGTACGTCACGGGGGGAGACTTGATGTACCACATTCAACAACTGGGCAAGTTTAAGGAGCCCCATGCAGCGTGAGTCTCGGCCAACAGAGAAGGGACGGAGTGGCGGAAGGGGGCAGGGTCCAGCCACTGACCCTCTGACGTCCTCACCCACCCCGTCCTCCAGGTTCTACGCAGCAGAAATCGCCATCGGCCTCTTCTTCCTTCACAATCAGGGCATCATCTACAGGTGAGCAGCCTCAGGACTTTCCACGGAGGAAATCACGCCCCTGGAAGGGAAGGGATTTGAATATGCGGCTCCAGACTGCTGAACTCAACCCTTCTTGCAATTCCTACCCTACCCGCCCCGCTTGGTCCAGGGACCTGAAGCTGGACAATGTGATGCTGGATGCTGAGGGACACATCAAGATCACTGACTTCGGCATGTGTAAGGAGAACGTCTTCCCCGGGACGACAACCCGCACCTTCTGCGGGACCCCGGACTACATAGCCCCGGAGGTAACCCCAACCCTGCTGGTCTGGCCACGCTTTGAGATCCCTTAGAGGGTGTGGCTGATGGTCCAGTATTCATCGCGGGGGGAGGCCTGACCCTCGGGCCTTGTCGTGCGTTTTGGCCTTCTTACCCAGCCAGGCGTTCCTCCAGCCTCCAGCACAGGTGAGCTTGTGCACTGAGCCTGCCAGGTGGGCCCAGCTGGGTCTCTAAATAGGTAAGGTGGGCGGCACCTGTGGGTGAACGTTCCAGGAGAGTGGGACCAGCTTGTAGGAATTCCGAGTAGGGCCTGATCCTGGACCCTTCTGACAAGGTGCAAGTGATTTCTAGTGTACTCTGAGTGGGTGTGGCCTGTCCCCTGCCAACACTGAACATGTCCGGACTATGTCCTGAATACTCTTACCTGGGCAGGGCTCTCCCTGGAGTATTCTGTTGGATGGAAGCTTATTTCCTAAGTGTTGTACGTGGTTCTCTGATCTAAGTGGGTTGGACTTCTGTGCTGCATTTTTTAAGAGGGCAGGATCAGTCAGGCGCGATGGCTCACACCTGTAATCCCAGCACTTTGGGAGGCTGAGGCGGGTGGATCACTTGAGGTCAGGAGTTTGAGACAAGCCTGACTAACATGGTGAAACCCCGTCTCTACTAAAAATACAAAAATTAGCCAGGCGTGGTGGTGAGTGCCTGTAATCCCAGCTGCTTGGGAGGCTGAGGCAGGAGAATTGCTTGAACTCGGGAGGTGGAGGTTGCAGTGAGCTGAGATCACACCACTGCACTCCAGTCTGGGCAACAGAGTGAGACCTTGTCTCAAAAAAAAAAAAAAAAGAGAACACAAAAGAAAAAGGGCAGGGTGAGATCCCTAAGGTTCTGGGACAGCAGATGCTGTCCTATGAGTATTTTAATTTTAAGTGGGTGGGGTATTATCTGACTTTGTTAAAGGGGAGGGGCTGATGTTCTGAAGGTACATATAGATGGATAAAGCACATGCCTGTAGTCCCAGCTACTTGGGAGGACGTGCCTGACTTGTGCCCAAATAATCAATGTCAGTGATCACAAAACCTGGCTGGCAATCAGAATCATCTGTAGAAAATTTGAAAACTGAGGCCAGGCATGGTGGCTCATGCCTGTAATCCCAGCACTTTGGGAAGCTGAGGCAGGCGGATCAGTTGAGGTCAGGAGTTCAAGACCAGCGTAGCCAACATGGTGAAACTCTGTCTCTACTAAAAATACAAAAATTAGCTGGATGTGGTGATGTGTGCCTGTCATCCCAGCTACTCAGGAGGCTGAGGCAGGAGAATCACTTGAACCCAGGAGGTGGAGGTTGCAGTGAGCCAAGATTGCACCACTGCACTGCAGCCTGGGCTACAGAGTGAGACTCCATCTCAAAAAGGAAAAAAGAAAAGAAAATTTGAAAACTACACACATAGCCAGGCGTGATGGCTAAAGCCTATAATCCCAGCACTTTGGGAGGCTGAGGCGGGTGGATCATGAGGGGAGTTCAAGACCAGACTGGCCAACATGGTGAAACCCTGTCTCTACTAAATACAAAAATTAGCGGGGCGTGGTGGCGGGTGCCTGTAATCCCAGCTATTCAGGAGGTTGAGGCAGGAGAATTCCTTGAAACTAGGAGGCGGAGGTTGCAGCGAGCTGAGATCCTGCCACTGCACTCCAGCCTGGGTGACAGAGCAAGACTCTGTCTCAAAGAAAATAAGAAAAAGAAAAAAACAAAAACAAAAACTACACACATATTCCTGACTCTGACACAAATATTCTAGGTGGTTGCAACTAGTGACTTGGACCTTAGGTAGTGTTTCTATTTGAGGCCAAATGAATGTTTGAAGTAGGTATGCTTTGTTTCCAGAATATTCCAAAAGGTAGATCCCTGGCCAGAATATTCAGAGTGGTGGCTGGGCGTGGTGGCTCACTTCTATAATCTCAGCATTTTGGGAGGCTGAGGCAGACAGATTGCTTGAGTCCGGGAGTTGAGACCACCTGGGTAATATAGTGAGGTCCTCTCTCCACTAAAAGTGCAAAAATTAGCCAGGTGTGGTGGTGCACACCTGTAGCCCACCTACTTGGGAGGCTGAGGTAGAAGAATTACCTGAGTCTGGGAAGTTGAGGCTGCAGTGAGCTGTGATCACACCACTGCACTCTAGCCTGGGCAACAGAGTGAGATCCTGTCGAAAAAACAAAATGAAACAAAAAATCACCTGACAAGCCGGGCGCGGTGGCTCACACCTGTAATCCCAGCACGTTGGGAGGCTGAGGCGGGCGGATCACGACGTCAGGAGATTGAGACCATCCTGGCTAACACGGTGAAACCCCGTCTCTACTAAAAGTACAAAAAAATTAGCTGGGAGAGGCCGGGCGCGGTGGCTCAAGCCTGTAATCCCAGCACTTTGGGAGGCCGAGACGGGCGGATCATGAGGTCAGGAGATCGAGACCATCCTGG